CAACTAAATGCACACACACCTGGAAGAATGTCATCCACATTTAAAGGGAGTCCCCATGTAATTAAACCCACACACACCTGGAACAGTGTCATTCACATTTAAAGGAGTCCCTCATGTAATGAAACCCACACACACCTGGAACAGCGTCATTCACATTTAAAGGAGTCCCCATGTAATGAAACCCACACACACCTGGAACAGCGTCATCCACATTTCGTTGTCGCTCTTTGAGGCGATGATGGACTTCTCTTTGTAGATCATGGCTGCGCCTATCAGTGCCATGATTATGCCATGGCCCACATCACCAAACATCACAGCAAAGAGGAACGGGAAGGTGATCAGACACCACAACGCAGGATTCTGCTCACCGTATGTGGGCACACCATACGCATCCATGATCACCTGCAAGGGAAACAACAGAACATTATATGAGGGAAACAACAGAACAATAGACACACATGTGAGAAGTATAAGCAACAGAACATTAGATACACATATGAGAAGTATAAGCAATAGAACATTAGATACACATATAAGAAGTATAAGCAACAGAACATTAGATACACATATGAGAAGTATAAGCAACAGAACATTAGATACACATATGAGAAGTATAAGCAACAGAACATTAGATACACATATGAGAAGTATAAGCAACATAACATTAGATACACGTATGATGAGTATAAGCAACAGAACTTTAGATACACATATGAGAAGTAACAGAACAATAGACACACATATGAGAAGTATAAGCAACAGAACATTAGATACACATGAGAAGTATAAGCAGCAGAACATTAGAGACACATATGGAAAGTAACACAACAATAGATACATATATGAGAAGTATAAGCAACAGAACATTAGATACACGTATGAGAAATATAAGCAACAGAACAATGGACACACATATGAGAAGTATAAGCAACAGAACAATAGACACATATGAGAAGTATAAGCAACAGAACATTGAGAAGCATGTACACATCCATGTTAGCCTTGTGTGTGTTTATGCAGTCAGGTGAGTGTATATACAGAGCGTGTGTGTTTTTACAGTCAGGTGAGTGTATATACATGGTGTGTGTGTTTTTACAGTCAAGTGAGTGTATATACAGGGCGTGTGTGTTTATGCAGTCAGTGAGTGTATATACAGGGCGTGTGCGTTTTTGCAGTCAGGTGAGTGTATATACAGGGCGTGTGTGTTTATGTAGCCAGGTGAGTGTATATACAGGGCGTGTGTGTTTTTGAAGTCAGATGAGTGTATACACAGGGCGTGTATGCACCTACCTGATAGGCGTAGGTGAACTTGTTGGTTAGCACCCACGTGGGCGGGGGCTGGTTGGTCTGCAGTCGCTTGACAATGGCGGGCACACCACTACCCTTTCGCTCCACCACGCGATGCAGTGCCGAATGGACTTCACCTGCAAGGCAATGAGACCAACACACTTAGCTTAAACACCTCAGAGGCAGAAACACAAATACACCAATACACCAACCACAGGCACTCGACAACGCACTTAACTTAAACACCTCAGAGGCAGAAACATAAATACATAAATACACCAACCACAGGCACTCGATCACAGCAGACGACGCAGCACCCCACGAGCGACTGATCGTACTGCGAGCTCTATCCAAGTATGCGGCTGTATGCCACACTGACCTTTGTATTAAAGAAATATGCAAACTCATGATTACGGACACTGTGAATACTTTTTTGATTCACTTTGTTTTGTTTGAACATCTGAACAGGCAGTGGTTTAATGAGGCTCCACCAACAGTCGGCCATCCGTTCATGGCGACAAATACGCCAAACGTAAACAACGACAGACAACTGATGTACGCCTACGTGACTAAACGGTGATAGTTCATCTGAGAACACAGTTTAACTGAAAGTGGCGCATATTCACGCGTGCAACTAGTCGCTCCACATCACAGCACCTATTCACTAGAACTACACGCACAAAAACATCCAATCAACCACTTACCTACATACTCACCCAAGCACTCCTTCATACACACTCCTTCACACACACTCACTCAAACACTCCTTCATACACACTCACTCAAACACTTCTTCATACACACTTACTCAAGCACTTCTTCATACATACTCATTCAAACACTTCTTCATACACACACACACACTCAAGCACTCCTTCGTCCCCCCCCCACACCTAATTTTTCAACAGGTATCCAGGCCTCGCCCACCAACGCCGACGACATGTCCGTGGTGAATTTATTGAGAGTGTGGTATGTCATCAGTGACTTCTTGGTGAGCACGTGCCACTCTTCTAAGTTGGGGACAATGTCGCGCAGCAGATTGCGTCTGCAGACGTGACATTGGCAAAGCATATCATTAGTTATGGCACTACAAACGACCCACTATATATATATATATATATACATGTGCATAAACCCTAAAATCGGTATATTAGAGGTGTAGAACACCAAACAAACCGCAAGTATGCGTGTGCATTCACAGCACACAGAGACCACTGCGCAAATCAAGAAGTACCCTCAACTGCCGTTGAATTGGCAGGAAGCGCGACATACGACAGCCACAGACACACCTGAATTCAATGGTGTGTTGTCGCACCATTTCTAATTCGGCGATGGACTGATTGACCCGATCGCTCATCTCCTGCCGCTCTCTCCTGATACGCAAAGACAAAATCAAAGCCATCAGAACAACAGAATAATAAACCGAGTATATGCATATATAAGTACTAAACCATCAGAACAATAGAATAATAAACCAAGTTTATATAAATATAAGCACTAATCCATCAGAACAATAGAGTAATAAACCAAGTTTATAAAAAAATAAGCACTAAAACCATCAGAACAACAGAAGAATAAAGTATCACAACGGCGGAACGGGCACACTGGCCTTGTGGTACAAGGTATGACCTGCCTCTACCAATCGGCAACCACACAGTGACTTAGTGATAGCACACGAACACATGTGCAATGGACATGCAGATGAGCCCATCTACTACCCATGGGTCATTACACAGTGATTTAGTGATATCACACGAACACAGTGTGCCTGTGGTGATAGCACACATAGCATGCCTTGGCTCGGGTACAGGGTATATGGATGCTCCAAAGCCTGCACAAATGCGCGTCACCTTTCTTTCCAAGACGTCTCCCTGGAATACGGCAATGAATGCAACTTTCGGCCCAGTGGACTCCTGAGTGCGCCGTACGAGAATTGGTATATATCAGAATTGCATTCATTTGTACTGGCAGAAGTTGAAGCCAAAAGAAATGTCCGTGAGACCTAATAAGCCAACTGACGATTGAGAGCGCCAGAAGTCCTTCACTAACAAAGTACTCACTTTAAAGCCCTCAAATCTTATACAGCGGAGGTACAAGCAGTGTCTGTGTACTTTACTTAGCGATTTATAAGTGGTCATTGGCAATTGGTCTCAACAAAATAGAATATGCGAACACAACAGGCCATATGCGTGTATTTTGCTTAGCTACTAAACCCCAAAATCCAGTGGCCAAATACGGGCACCCATCAGATACAATCCAAATCAAATGACGAACTACATATAGGTGACTGTACTAGTACTGATCATAGTCACAAATCTACAACGATTTACGGTTTAGAGTTTCCTAATTATGACTGTAACACTCCATCAAGAGCAAAACGCTAAACTGAAATGGTGATCAGGCATATACATACGGATCTGGAATTCATCACATGTCTCTCTAGTTGCACCAATAAGGAGAACAATTAATCCACAACGCAGCTCACGTTTGCAGACACAACACAGAAACAAAAAGTGGGCAGTATCATCAATGGTCCACTATAGCAATCGATAGACGTGTGTGCATTAAGATATAACAGTTTACACCGCAGTGGCTGACTATCATTGGCACATCAGACGTAACCATTACTGGATTAGACACAGCCGAATGCGTGATTCCATTTCACTTCCAAACTCTAAACACGGGACAGAACTACGGAGACATAATTAAAATTCCAACGCAGAACTCGACAACACACAGGTGCCATGACAACCGACGGTGCTCACACGGTGACATGTGGGATGTACA